GAGCAGTCCCAAACTTTTTCGGGCTGATCCACACAGCCAAGGTTTAACGTCCCGGGTACCGTTATTCATATTGCTCCCGAGGACGGATCCATAGAGCAAATGTACCCAGGATGATGAAGGCTGAGTACCTGCGTTTCCGTAAGGAATATTTTTCCGGCAGCAGGGATCGAACCCACACCGCCTCCCGCGCGAGCGGCGTCGTTGCGGCATTTCACGAAGTCAAACGCACGTTCGCACGAGTAGTGACAAACGCGCTAACCACTCGACCACCCGTCGGTCTCGTGAGCAGTCCAGGAAGCAGGCAACTAGTCCTTGTTGCGCCGAATGTCCAGAGCCCGCTGGAGGCGAAAGGTTAAAGAAGCCCTTGTGAATTCGCGGGAGACACGCTTGCTAGGAATATTTGATGGAGCGAGAAGGTCATAAGGGCTCCGAACGCTGCAGTGATCGGCGGCGAACAGGTGTACGAGATGGATGAGAGCAAACGATGCAAAATCGTGACCAGTTTTTGGCGAAGATCGAGAGGACGCTTCTTTCAGTCGAATAGTCGACAGACGGGAGGAACAGGCAACGCTTCGTGATCAAATCGGGAGGAGACTCGCCTCGAAAGATGGCTCTATTTCGATAGGTTTTCCCCGTGAGCCACGGAGAGACTCGGAGACGCCTCCCAGACAATCGTTCAGAGTCCCGTATACAAATATCATGAATATGTATATGTACACTGGACAAGCAATTTAAGAGGAGAGTGTTGACCGTGGAATATCCGACTTCCTTCAAAATCTCGATTGAGCTCCCCATCCGATAGTCGAACGGTCGAAAGCCCATAACAGTGCTTGAGATGAGAATCATGCTCCATGGCCCGGCCACGGAAGCGACGAGTGCCAATCTCAGTCGTGGTTTTCCTGATCTGGAAGAGCTCAACGTCGAAGAAAAATATTGTGTTGAGCGTGGGACTCGCAACCGCTCTCTGGGTCGATTCCTAAGGCTTTCCCCTCGTCGGACTCACTCCATCAGCACCCGAGCTCGAGTTCTAGGATTTTCCATGGAAGGGGGGTAAAGAGATACCGTGTACACACCTCAAAAGCTGATGAGGTACAAGTCAAAATGACTACTTACGCCGACCAAAAGAAATTGCGTTCGTTGAAGGCGATCGCGAGCATCTTTCGGAACTTCACCCTGAGCATCATATACAACGAACACACGAGGAGCATCCCTACGATCAGAATTTCCATGATCGAGCCCATTTCCTTACGGATTGGATTGGACCCAAGAGCTCACTCTATAATTGTCTCTCTGGGACATCGAAGTTCCCATGCGGCCAAGCAGAACATCAACGCTGCCAGAGACGAAATCAAGCTCGCGGAACCTATTCCGGATACGAGGAAACCTTCTCCGGTCCAATTGATTGGATGCAATTCAGTCTAAGGAGCCAGAAGAGCTCCCTGGATCCAGGTATGGGACGATCCTTCGTGCTCTGTTTGGAGATGTCACAGTCCATATCTGAAGCTCCATTCCTCTCCGGGGAACCCTGAAGCACGGCTTGTGTGAAACGACCGCATGCGGGTCAGGCATTAGGTCCGCTTTAATTAAGCAGACTCTCGGCTTCCAACCTCTCATCCGTTTAGCTTCACTAGAGACTTCATCCTTTCGATCGCTCGTCGCATTACCCTCGCGTCTCAGGAACCGACTGATGGATAAATATTTTGAATCGACCCGCTCTGCGCCGAACACTTTCTTCATGCCGAGAATTCTCAAAGAATAAATTAAAAATCGGTCAAAGGCCTCGATGCGAACTGCGCAATTCCTCGATAAACCTTCCGAGGAGGAGATCGGGTAAATCCTCGAAATCGTCGGTGGAGTCGGAAACCCCAGTCCCAAGCTTCGGAAGTCGAGAGGTATTTCGGGGATGCCTTTCTCGCTTAATTGGTCTTCGGGGCATTCGTCGATGTTTTCCGACATCCTTGCTCCTTCTGCCCAGCACAGGCCTCTGTGAAGCTCACCGAATGACGCTAGGAGATCGTGGATCAACCGTACTGAAGCGTAGGTAGTCGACTCCATATTGTCCAGGCATCTACGCACCGGCGAAAATGAGTCTCTCGGAGGTGGACAAGGGAGTTCCTCGATTATTGATACTTGTCATAGCTCAGGATGATGGCTCCTACAGAGGGAAACGTCCCGTCGAAAAGACCTTTTTGACGCCTCGCCGCGAACTTCCACCGGAGGTGTACATCCCGCTCGCGACGGGACATAACCGTTTGAAATGTCTCACTACACAACTAACACCCTATAGTTGTCTGTTGCGAGGCGCGAATTCTCTTGAGGAGCTACATATGATCGATGCTCTCGCCGCTCAAGATGAGCGGGGGAATTTGACCTCTTGCCGCCTCACGGTCTGGAGCATCGGTCCTCATTATCGGTGAGTTTACATCTTCCTTAGGGATAGACCCCCGGTTGGAGTCATCTCCGGTGAATCTTATGCAGTGCTGTGCGCCATCTGATTTTTCGCGGCGGCGGCAACAGGCGAAAGAATAGGCGGCGGCGGCGGACGCCGCGGCGTTTTTCAGCGGACTTAAGACTCACGGCGCGCCGCGGCCCTCTCTTACCCGGAGCGAGCTCCATGGGGAAAGTAGATCCCAAGGACTGAGCTCGGGCACCAAAGAGGGAGTAAGCTTCGCAATGGCGAAAGAAGGAATCGAAGAGCGAGCACAAGTTAGGTTGATTCATTCTTAAGTCATTTATTCTGCGAGAACTCTCGATTATCGTGCATGGAAAGACAAGCCGGCAGGATCGTCATTCCTATTTCGTCTCTTGATGTGCGGCGAGGAGTCGACAGAAAAGCTTATGAATCGTCTACGATTCTCATAATCGAGCGAGCGCATCGAGCTCGGCCCAGGTTCTCTTTCTTTGACTTCGATGAACATTTTCTGCTGTATTCCCTCGATTCGCTCCGAAATCTTTCAAAAGGGCTCTTGACTATTCACCATGGTGATCATGACGGCGCGCCGTTCCGCCGCAGGACGCCGTGCTCGGAGCTCGGCGGCGGCGATCGCCGGCGATATCAGGGCGCGGCGCACAGCTCTGATCTTATGTTTCTGTGGTGAAGTTCAGCAATTAGAACGCTATCGCGGGAAGTCCGAGCGAGCTTGTAAGAGACGCGCGAGTTCGGGTCCAGGGTTCCGATTTCGAATCGGCAATCTATAGATCTAATTTACACACTATTCCTCCTGTCTTCGAGGCTTTGTCTGTGGAATCTACGATCGATTGAAATATGCGCTCGAAGTGAGTGGAGTGCAAACGACTTGGAGAGTAGTGGAATCCGAAGGAGACTTCGACCTTGAGTTTCCATTCCTCAGCCATAGAACTGACCATTTGCTCCTTCGACATGTCCTCTCGAGCGAAGCCGGAACGCTGGATATGCGTTCGTACTGTCATAAATCGATGATTATTCCAAAGATCGATGATAGCGACGGAGTATTGCGCTCCATCTTCTCCTAACGAAGTTCGTTGATAAACGGTCCTAGTGTGCTTCAGGTTTCGACCAACGCTACCCGCTTTCAACCTTTCAACTCTCGAATGTCAGTGTCCAGAATGACATTGGAAGCGTGGGAATGTGTTCCGGTGCTGCACCCCCGCACATCCAAGGTGAGTTCGAGATTGGTTTCATGCTGATCGACGTGCATTCTTCGAAAGTTGGCGAAGTTCGCCTTTGCATAGCCGGAGACGAGGATGAGCTTGTGGGCACGATGATCTCGAACGGTGAAGATCAAGTGTACCGCGTCGACGTTTTACACAATGGGACGTCTTTTCCGCAGTCCCGCATGATCAGCGCCAGCGTTCTTCTCGCCACATGGATCGCCTTGCGGAGTCACTTGATCGCTATTGCTTGAAGGATCATCAACAGATTAAGTGTCCAGAGCTTCGAAACACACCCAGCTGCGCTCATCGAACTTTGAAATAGAATTTCCTTTATCATCATTTTTCCTAAGCCCGGTTGCTCGTGGCGTCAGCGAATGATGAGATATCACCGAGCGTCTTCGGTCTCTCCTTGGACCGAATCCTGAGTCAGGACTCGTACGGTATTCTTGATCGTGTATCAATCCGGTTTCAGACGCCTGCATCCAGGCAATGAAGAGCTTCCGACGGCGGCAGAACTCTCGTACAGCCTCGGCTCTAATTCCCAGCAAGCTTTTGAGTCGTTTTTGTTCTCGAGCATTCTAGCGATCGCGCCTAGACTGCTCCGGGGAAGTGACGACGAATTCGATTTGGAATATTCCGACGAGATCTAAACCGGCGTCTATAGGAAGTCGTTACCAAAGCAGACCGTCACCACTTGCAATGGCTAGTCATTCCTTTCATCTTTTCCGAGGATGCTGGAACGCTAAAATCGGATTACATTCAGCTACGCCTACCGAAGACCTCTTTCGAATTCAGGGGACTGCCCGGGGGCCTTGAATACCGCGTCCGGAGTGCGCCGAGCTCGGGTAATGGTCATCCGGTGAGAGACTCGACCCCGACCATCGGGCATCTTGACATTCCGACGCGTGTAAAGCCTGATGGGGCTCTACATATCTTTCGCGAAGGCTCGGCGGAGATGTGTTACGGCGTCTTTTCTACCTCGTCCACATTCTCTCAGCCCGAAAGAGATCATGTACTTCCTCCCAGACGAGTCTTGCGACATCCTTGGATTCCCCGGATGCTAAAGTTTGGATCCTGGTACTCGAGATGCTAATCTCTCGCAGAGAGTGTAAGGATCAGCATGCATACCGAATCGAAAACTTCCACCGACTAAGATAAAAATGATAAGCTTCATACCTGTTATTCCAAAGATTAGGCCCAAGGGCATCTGGAGACGTTATCCGGTTCGTTCTGTTTTCGCTTCCATCGAGCCATAAGCTTTGTTTGATCGCGTAATCGCTCCCTCCGTCTGCGCGCCGGCTGCTCCGATCCCATGATCCGTCTGCGCTCTCCCGTGGCTGTGCTATAAATACGGCCCGCGATCGAGTATTTCTCATTGCAACTACGCTATAAACATGAAATCCTACGCAGTGATCGCCTTCGCAGCTGTTGTGGCCTCGGCCTTGGCTGGCTCGTGCATCGAGGAACGAGAGGAGGCTCAGAAGAGAGTCGACGCTGGTATGCTGGGAGTCTTCGTTCCGGAATGCGAGGACAGCGGAGAATGGAAGGCGTTGCAGTGCCATGCATCCACTGGTGAGATTTAGAGCATCGGGAGGAAATGTTTTTCCTATACGGAATCTGGCTCGACGGAGATTCCTACACCGGTCAATAGTTCTGTAAGCAATTGAATCTTGATTCGCAGGAATGTGCCGATGCGTCCACCCCACTGGCGAGAACCTGAAGAACTCCTCCCGTGTTCTCGAGACCTGTGTCTGCATCGTTCACCGCGACCGTCAGATGAAGAAGGGTCTTCTTGGAGCTGCTATTCCCGCTTGCGAGGAATCTGGTTATTACAAGAAGGTGAGTAATGGGAGTGTTTCCATGATTCTGCACCAGGCATCCGACAAGTCACCCGCAGCATAGAGAGACTACGGCTGTCCAAAGAATGACCTCATCACTTGGGCTTTTCTGTTCAGGTTCAATGCCACGAAGCTCGATGCTCCTGCGCGGATCCCACCTCCGGTGAGCTCCGAGGAGAAAGCCGCCACATCAGCGAGCTCTCGCAACTCGAATGTTAATAAATTCGGTTCTTGAGACTCAATCATTCTCCGGAGAACTTTTTCCCTCTCGATGCAGCTCGAGCGACTCCGTTCCCGAAGACTCTCAGCCGTAGACCTTCGACGTACATGTATACGTTGATGATTCGGGTTAGGCATGGGTCTAGGAGGTCTTTGAAAAGTTTTTCGATGCATCAGGAAACTGATTACGAGCCGCTCGATATAGGCATCATTTCGAATAGGGCAGACTGAAACCGGGCGCGGGCGGAGGCTCTTGCCCAAGTCCGACTCGATTCTCAGAAACCCCTCGATATCGTGATCTTTTTCTTATTGGAAAGTTCAATATCAGCTAGTCTCCCTGAATTGGGGGAGCAGCAACCCGCTATCACTACTCCGCCGGGGAGCTCGGCTCGATGCTTTCCCTTCAAAAGTGTGACAGTGATCATATTAACTGCAATCCTCACACAGCCTGAGAGAGAATCTATGAGACTTCGCCTAACTCCCACGAATGCGCTGATTCGTGATGCGTTCTCAGCAGGCGACGGCGATCTCGCGCCGTCACTTCCCAATCAGCGACTTCTGACTGGAAAACATTTGGGATTGGTGATATCGGTTGAAGCTTATTTTCTACAGTACTTATCAGGGATCAGGGCTTGAATAATGCGAAGTTCTCATTTCGAGAACGATCCCTTCCGGAAACCGAACGGAGCGGCCTTTAGGAACGATTCCATCCGAACAGTTGCGAATTCGATTTATTTCCGAATACCAAACCTACCAAGCATGGAAACTGTGACGAGTAAGCGGCTTCTCGTCGTCATGTGAACTCGATCGAAGTCAAGTCATCTCGTAGAGGGAAATCCGTGCCATCCCCGGGGGTGGTATGGACCGGAACCAGCCAGAGTACGGAGATAGGTCCAAAGATCTGTTTCAAGTTACTGCGCACCGAACCCAAATCGTACGAATGCGGCTTGCCGTCGATGAACACGATGTCTGACATCGACTCCAAGGTGGTCTGGTTGTGCATCGCGTTTTTCATCGAAAAGGCGAAGAAAAGACTGACGAGAATCGCCAGGAGCCCGCAGTAGAGAGTCATTGCACCGAACCAGAAGAAGGAACGATTGCTGCATTCGGGCATCGAGGACCTCATGGATAAGCAAGCGACCCCCGTCACGAGGACGTATATCGCTCCGAGACATCCATAGAACAGCGTCAGTAAGAAAAACTTGGCGTTCTCGAAGTGGATGCAGTTGCCGAAAAAGGGGCAGTGGTGATCCATGCGGAGGACGCATTGCTGACAGATGCTGCAGTGGTGGGTTCTTTCGGGCTTGATAATTTTACAAGTTATGCAGTAGTTCACGCTCCCGTCTCTAGCACATGTGCGAATGCCTCGTCGCCTCGCCATATCGCTCAATCGTTCATGCATTGATTGACGAGTTTCTACTTCGGTGGTTTTTTCGTAGTCTTGAACGAAGGCATTCTCCTCTTTAGTGAAATAATAACGCTCCGGTATGCTTGGCGGAGCTGTCGAGTGAGTGAGCGCGAAAGACCAAATCACCATCACGAGGTAGAAAACGAGGAAGCACACGAGGATGGAGAAACCGAGAGTATTTTTCGACATGAAACACATTAGTGTCGAAATGTAGCTCGGCAGTACCAATAGAGCGGTCCCGAAGATGAGGACACTTCCCCAGTAATTGGTGAGCACGTAATTCGCGGTACATTGTGCCGACGGCACCGTGAGGGTATAGTCGGTTGTGAACGATGTTGACATGAGGACTTTGTTGTTTGCGGTCGCTGATTGAAATTCTCCATGATCGCTGTTGGCGCTGATCAGACGCTGGGTCAATTGCATAACCAGAGAAGGAAAGCCCGTATCGGATTACTTAGATGATAGCTTTCTCCGTAGCCACCCGGTGCACGCTCCCTGAAGAATACTCTCGGTTGCTCTGAGCTCATCGGAATGCCCCGCGTTGTAGCGGAAAACATGAGCACCCTCCGGCTCGACTCGACATTTTCTCTCGACGCGGAAGATTCGGAAGGTGGCAGCTACATGGTGCCACGTGGGTGTGCTCGCCATGGAATCGGTGGAGCGGTTTGGAGTCTCATCTCTCCTGTCATTAAATTCCACCTTCCTTCCCGTTCCCATCTATCGTTGCGGACTCCCGCATCTCGCAAGAATCGATGTTCCGAAAGAGGAAGCCGATTCAGATGATAGGCTCATGGGTTGAACTTGATGATCATGTGCAGGTTTGTGGATTATTACGGGCGGCCCGGAGGAGCTCAAGCCTTCACCTAAATCCTATGGAGCGTTTGAAGCAATACCCTTGAGACACATGGGTTTGCGCCAGATTTGTGGTAATCGCCCACTCATTGATCAAGATTACCGCGAGTCAGTCTGTAAGCACGGAGCGGACGGAAATTCTATTTATGATTGGGAACGGCTGGATGCTGTCTTCGAACGATTTCTCGGGAGTATTAGAAAGATCGACTGGCGAATGGAGGGTGCCACACGCTGACGTCTAGATTCCTGGATCCAGCTCGCGCTCTTCCGGTTGAGGGGAGAAAAACGTCTCCCTGTCCTGCTACTCACCTCTCGTTACAGAATCGTTTGATTGCAATCCTCGATCCGGAATGATTGACATCAGCAGGGCCCAGAGAGGAGCCCATCAATTATTATTCATTGATTGTTATTCGCTAGTCCTCAGCATCTAGTAGGTGAGAAAGAAATCTCGGCGTAATATTAGGGTCAGAATCAAGATCTCAATCTTCTTCGGAATTTCCGTGCAAAATGTCCAAGCAGCGACCTCGCGATCCCTGAGCATGAATCACAGATGATCACATTTATTAATTTAACCATTTAATCCTAGAAATTGATTACATTCGACTAAGAATCACAAGAACTGATGATTTCAGTGAGATAGATTCGGAATGGCTGTGTATGCTGACCGGGATCTCGACAAAGTTCGCTCTCTGTTGTAAATCCCACAAAAGGTCAATCTCTAATCTGTCGAAGAGGCTGTGCCGTACTTGACGCCCGTATGGCGGTGCTCATTTCGCAGTGCTCTGGCGCTATACATATAATCAAATGAATTATCGTCACATGGCCGGTCTTACTTCGGTGAGCTCCTCGATCTGTGAGCGTACCGGGAAAGTCACTCCGTCTCCGGGTGTTGTCGATTTGGGTATGAACCACGCAGCGATAGAGGGTCCGAACTGATTCTTCATATTTTTACAGAAGCTTCCGAGGTCGTAGGATTCTTTTGATCCGCTCGCGAAGATGACCGAGCCACCGATGTGCTCTAGAGTCGTGTGGTTGTGCATAGCGTGTCGGAAGGACGTCCAGAAAAAGGCCCCTAACGAGAGTTCTGCCATCACTGAAAATATCAGGAGCGCAATGTACGCAACTAGTCCAACTACGTCCTCGTTCAAGGTTTGGAACGCCTTCTCTGCTCCCACGGACACAGTGCACACGGCAGTGGCCACGATAATGTACAAAAACCCCAAGGTCGCATAGAACAGCGTCAGGAGAAAAGCCTTGAAGTTGCCAAAATGGATACAGTTCCCGAAAAACGGACAGTGATGATCCATTTTGGGGATGCATTTCCTGCATATCCTGCAGTGATGAGTGCGTTCCGGCTTCATGATGCGGCAGGTCCGGCATATGTTTACTTGACCATTGTAGCCCCTGGTTCGGATCCCGCGCGCAGTCGCCCATGCGCACAGCTCATACCGCGTGTCTTCTGACAGGAAGGCTCTGGATTCCAGAAAGGCCCATTCGACCGGGGTGAATTCGAATCGTTGCGGGATCGGTAGTGTCGGTGTAGAATGTGTGACCTTGTACGACCACATGAGCATGAAGAATATAAACACAAGGAGGAATATGAGAATCATCAAGCTCAGAAGGTGTGCGCTCAGCAGCAAATACAGCACCGCGTAACTGTAGAGCGTGGCTATTAGCACGGCGGTGATGACTAGAAACACTCCGCCCCACAAACGTTCACAGATCCCAGGCGTCTTCGACGGCTGGTCTGTATGGCCGTTCGTTGACATCCTGTGCTCGCTCACAATCACAGCTCACATTTTCACATTTTTCCTCTGTTCATTCGACACCGGCGCAGAACTGATTGATCGCTCACGACCAGTCTTCGTTCACTCGGTCTACATTGCAAGACAGAAAGATGTCGGCGTTATTGTTGTCAGTCCTCAAATGTCCACTAGTTTGAAAGTGCACGGCTCCTTTCCTTCTCTCAGAGCGTCTACGACAGCTCGTCGTCCTCACGTCACGTTGGATGACGCTCCATGTGTTACGAGTGCCGCTGTTTCACTCGAACTGTGCGGTCGATCCGCTCTGCTTGGAGTCATGGTATTATGCTACGACAGGCCGACGCTACAGATTCGGATTTCGCACTGAGCTGTAAGCTCGTGTGAGCGATTTCGTGTGAGCTGACTCACCCTTCGCGGCTAGCGCTCCTTCTACACTGCCATGAAGGGTTATCGAGCACGTGAAATCTGTTTCGATCGGGATTGAGCAACGAGCACGATGTAGGGTGAGGATTGGAGCGAGGATGTCAGAAACCTGTTGGACGGCTATAATTTTTGGAGGTGGGAATGGTTCAGAATATCATAGGAGGCGACCTCTAGGTCGAGAGACTGTACATTACTCTGTTCCGGGGCGACCTCCACTTGGGTTGAGGAATCTACCTACGAATCGCCGAGATCGTTGTCGTTTCCGGGCGTGGGACGGGAATGCTAGACCCTTGATTTCGATCGAAAGTTCCCCACTAGTGCTGGCTAGAGATGGGAAAGTTGTCTAGGCCGTCTGTGGTCGACCTCTCGGAGGAGTGCGGGCTCATCGCATCACCGCCATGTCCTAAACTGCGCACCGATCATGAACGATACTCCGCTTGCTTGGCCCGCGATCCTCCTCTTCCGGAATAACTTCTTTGCAGTGGTGGATTCGGGGAAGTGCGATGCCTCCTTCATTGTCTCAAAGTGACCGTAGGCACCGCTTGAGTTACAGTGTTGAGAGCGCATGACCGCATATACGCCGACTGGCTTCTTACTTCTTCCTCGGAGACGGAGATCTGTCGAACTTCAGCCCTCGGACTCAGTGATCGATGAGTTGCTGCGCTTGCGAGTTTTCCCATCGGAAAATTCTCCAGGAGAGATGATGATTTACGACATTCACTTATCTGAGTTCAGAGTCAAGAGATATAATAACATGGAATCTAAATGATTCTGATCCCTTTCTAAAGCGGCGTGGACGAGAAAATCACTCGCGTGTACCGCTCCGTGGAACGCCTCGAAGACTCTGATCGAGCGGCGCGGAGACGGCAAGTTCTATCATAGTTCCTCTCAAGGCTTCCGGGCGGATCCCGCTAAGGATTACTGTGAGGCTCCGCGTCAGAGTTCGGGAGCTGGCAGTTTAGGACTCCGGCTACCACGCGAGAGCGAGGGAGGCGGAATGCGAATCTTCAAAAATTGATCGGGAGGAGCAGTCCAACATGTACTTCGATGTCACCTGTCGACGGTAAGGACGCTCGCCCGTTCCTGAGAACTCAATCAGCCGCCTCCTCCTTTCGCTGGTATTCCCAATCGTTAGCAGCTGATTGGTCGTTCAAGGTAGACCTCCCGAGCGCTCCGAGCCCTGTACCTTAGTCCAGAGGTTCCCAACCGGGGTTCCACGGAACCCTTGGGTTCCGTGGCGGATTGCGCGGGACCCCAAAGTCTACCTGCGGAACCCCTACGGAACCTCTAGGGGCCCCATGGAAGAAATAGGTTGGGAACCACTGCCTTAGTCTGCTCACTGGAATAATAACCTGATTGAACTATCACTCTCCTCCGAAGATGGCCTCTAGTCAATTTTCATATCTATAATCTCTTCCAGAACGGTCTAGCCAAGGGTGAATTCACGATCAAACTGACCGCCCCCGTGAGGGGGTTCAAGGTGCGCACGGAGAGATTGCGTGGGAGAGATTGCGACAATATTCTGCGATCAGTCCGCGGCGCGCAGCGAAGACAAGCCTCAACCTCTGAAGAGCCTCTGTCCCTCTCGCTGAGGTATGTGGGCAGATAATCGCCCTAGACCCTCCTCTGCTCGAAGCCAGTGTGCCGGCCCCCTCTCCCTGACGAAGGAAACCCTTGGTCCCCGAATAGCGACTGAATTCCGAATCTTCATCCTTCTGCAATTCACCGACAGAGAAAAAATCACTTGGTTCAGCCTTTGGGTCAATTTATTGTCATCGTTCACAAATAACACATTTGAGGATGTTTCGCGCTCAAAGTCAGCGAGTATTTTCATTCAGATAAAAAATGGGTCATGTGGCATAATGTGGAGGTCTAGGGGTTCTGTGCTCGAGGCGTAGGATTCAGTTCGCTCCAATATTCCGATATCTTAGAGCCTGGCCCCATCCAATGAAGAGGAGCTCATGGAACGTCGCGTGTCTACGTCGACTCGCTTCGTCATAGATCAGCGGGGCTTTAAGAACATCTGTCAACCACTCGCAATCGATGTAGTTTCGCCTTGCGAAGCTGTCCGCCGCATGTTCTATGCTCACCGTCGAAGGCTGTGACCGCGCGATTCTGTCTTTCCGCCCCCTCTCCTCCTGACGAGTCGCGTCTCCTCGACCCGAGACGCGAGGCTTCCCCGAGACCTTATCCCGCCCCGGGCTATTCTCCCATCCCGCGGTTTTCCCCTTGGTCGCGGCTCTCTCTTGACCGGCGATCCCTCCTTGTACCGCGATGTTCCCTTGTTCCCAGACACCGTCTTGGCGCGCAAACCTCTCTTGCTCCGCGTTTTTTTCGGTTCCGCAGACTCGTCCTGTCGTTCTAGTTTCTCCTGTTCCGCAAGCCGCTCCTGCCGCGCGATTCTCAATTTACGTGCCATTTTCTTCCGCTGAGCGAGCTTCTCCTGCCTTGCGAGTCTTTCTTCCCTCCTTATCCTCTCTTGTTTTGCAATCCTCTCCTGACGGGCGATCATATCTTGACGAGCATTATCTACACGTGGGGCGATCCTTTGTTGACGAAGCGGATCATCCCAATCGCGCCTGAACGGTCGATTTGTCTTCCCTCGCCGATCGATGCTTCTGTGCTGATCGATTTTGGCTCGCTGGAAGTTTTTATCCGAGTGATCGACCTTACCTAACCGACCGGTATCCTCCCTCGGATCGACTTCTCCGGACTGGTCATTCCTCCCTTGCTGATCAAGCTTCCCTTTCCGATCGACACTCCCTTGCCAATGCCGGATTATTTCGCCAGGCTGATCGGGTTTTCGGTGCTGATCGACTGCCTCGTTCCGGACGAATCTCTCGCGGCGTTCAGACTTCTCATGGGGATCGGATGCTCCGCGTCTCTCTGAATCGAAGGTGCGCACAGTTGCTTCTCGCTGATTAGGACTTTCGAGCAAGTCGGTATCTGCTCCGCGGTCGCTCTTTTCTCGCCGATCCACTCCAGATCGCTGATCAAGTTCGTCTTTCACAAAACTCCTTTCTCTTGATTGTATAGGCTTCGGCGCGGGCCGTCGGATGAATTTCCGTGGACCGTCATTCGGGGGTGGTCTCGGCAGGGTCGACGCTCCTTGCTCGTCAGGATCGGGAATCCGAAGGATTTTGCCGCTCGGTTCATCGTGGTTTTCCAAGTCTGACCGATTCTCCTTGCTTTCCAAGTTAGTTTCAGTGGACGCACCCGGATTCGTCGCATCGTCACAGCCTTGCATTTTGCGTCGCTCCGGAATCCCTTCTAGACGAATACCTGACTCCTGAGACGTAGCATTTGAGAATAAGTCACCGCTTCCTTTCATGTGAGCTACAAAGGAGACCCACTGAGTGCTCCTCGAAGTTCTGCCTTTGACAAATATTCGGATTGAATCATTCCGGGGGCACAGAATCGTATGCTATTCGGTAAATACCCCTGTCAGGGAGGTCGACGGGAGGAATCCGCGCTCGATTCGAAGTCACCTAGAAGCTCTGGACAACATTAGGCCGATTTTTCCTCATCGAAAAATCGGCTTAGCCTATACACACGGTGTTCGAATCGAGTTCTACCACGCGCGGCATATGTGAAGGTGTGAAGCATGTGTGCTTAGAGAACGTTCGATCTGATCGACGCAGCTTGACGAAACAGTTCTGTGCGTACACGAAGGCTATTAATTTATTGTCATCATCATGAATATAAAATCATCGCCTTCCGAGTCTGCCTATTCTGAAATAGTCGTGATGAAGGATGGAACGATTCATCCTCTGACGCTTCCGAAAAGTTCCTACATCCCAGGCAGCCTATTCAGAGTGAGTCCATGTAGGAACAGCGAGGGCTCTCCAAGCTCTTCAAATGCTCCGCGACCACACGACGATATTGAGCGTGGGGAGCACTCCTCGCGACATCGGACTCCACGAATTGCTCGACGACAAAATTATAAACCAAACAGGCAGCTCTCCAAGACCACAGGAAATCAACATGGCTGAATCTTTCTTCATCAACTATCAGCTGATTCATGGGTTTCAACCAGTCGACTATTCGTTGAGCAGACTTCAGGCCAAGGAATACGTCGTTCTTTGCGAAGATATACGATGAGTTGACCCGAGCCTCGTCGAATTTGAATTCAGGGGGATCCTCCTGCAAATGAGGAAAGTCTAAACAGTCGCAGTGGATCGGCTCCGACTCCTTCCAGCGACCCGGAGCGAGTCCCACTCGATTTATGAATTTCGATTTCGCTTCGAGACTCCGTGATACTAACGCGGTTGTACATCTCTTGATTGGTGATACCGCTCTGAGGGATCTTCCTGTAGTCGATCCTGGTCCAAGCTTCCTGTTTCATGTATATTTGGGAAGATAGCTCATAAGTGTTCATGCCGGTCACGCCACCAGGCCACACCGCTTTCAATACTGTGGTTCTCCCCTGGAAGAGAGGTGATTATGATAAAAATTTCCGGTAGCATCGGCGGCATCCCTTTGGCGCCGTACAAAGCCGGGACAAGACCACTGGGCATGAAGACTGACCTTATCGAATTCTGGGCTCAAAGTGAAGAAATCGATGAGGTCCCTTTGAAGAATCCAGTTGACAGTGAGCTGACAGACCCCTGGCAGAAAATCGCAGAATGGATAAATGAATCGGTTGCCGAACGTTTGAGCGCTAGTCAAAATGCGGGCCTGCGTAACAATTTTGAACAGGAACTGAAATCGAAAGACCGTGACAGATTCCTGCATGGGATTGATCCGGGATGCGCTTCTCGTTTCTTTTTCCGCGTTTAGTCTCATTGAGTATGCATTCGGTTCTGCTCGTATGGCATGAACTCGAGGTATACCGTGGGAAGTTTCTCGACTATTGGCGCAAATGCGCGGAGGAAGAGCTTGACCGTCGGTCCGAGATCGTCTCCGAGTATTACCACCGGTGAGAGAGCAGCGAAATGTCCCACCTGTGAAGCGATTGTGTTCTGATGTTTCGACTCGGCACCAAAATTTCCGATTTGGACAAAGCCCTGCTCGATATTTCGGAGTCCTACTTTGTCATCGTAGGAGTGGTCGCTTCCTAGGAATCCGAGGATGACCGGATTACCCTGCGAATGAGCGACCAGATGAATTTTGTCGTGACCCGTCTCTTTAAGGATGAAATCCAACGCCGCGGGTATGTCGTACTGCGACATGAACTGCCAGCTGCAAGACCACAGATGTTCGAGGAATAGGCGGGAGTCAGGAAGGGTCAGTCTGGGCTTTGATCGCTCGAACGGCGGCTTCTCCACGAGGAAAGTTCTGTCGCGACTGAGGTTGACTCGGAACCGGTCCCGAAAGATATTGACTCGGAACCGGTCCCGAAAGATATTGACTCGGAACCGGTCCCGAAAGATATTGACTCGGAACCGGTCCCGAAAGATATTGACTCGGAACCGGTTCCGAAAGATATTGACTCGGAACCGGTTCCGAAAGATATTGACTCACGCCGATTCATAAATGTCCTCTCCTTTCGCGGGATACGCAAGCCCGGATTTCGAGACCTTTTCGTAGCTGAATTGATTCCCTCGGTGATTCACCAAGAAAACATCGAAACCGTTATCAGCCAAGATGAAAGCCAAGCTTTCACTTCGGGGATTCATCATGAAATCCGCAGAAGAACACGTGAGTCCGTGAGAAATGAGGACGGGGGTCGACAGCGTACTATTGTAGACGTCAGGACTTCGCACGCGATGAATCTTCAATTTCCACCTGTCCGAGGTCACGACCGAATACTCGTCGAAAGCCATCCCTTGGGAGGAAGCGAAGGCGCCCTGGAATATTTCGATATTCCGGTGAATTTTTCAGTATTTCCATATCTGCCTGTCGGAGGCGAACGATGATCAAGTCCCCCAGATGTCCGAATATAAATAGCGCGGACTGCATGAGTCAGTTCTGCATAAAACACGATGCCTCACCAACCCATCTTTGGAGATGGCTTTCGCTTCCTGCAACGCCTTCCGGCAACGCGTCGGTGAGATCAACAAGGAAAGCCCTGCTTGATGTGGAATCCGGTGAGAGATCATCGGAGACAATCCGAATTCTTTGAGATTGTACTGGAGATCCCATGATAATATCGATCCGAAGCACGGATCTGTGATGGGAGCGAATTTCACTTCTGCCTCTTGATGGCATCAGCCGGCAGGATAGAGCGTGGACACGAGATATGCTCCGAGATAGGAAACTTTGTGTCCTCGAGCCAAATTGGCCAACTGATTCCTTTCTGTCATTCATCGCAACCGGAACGTCTACTCACCCAAAACGACAACACTCGGCAAGCACATCATTAACTCTGAAACGCTGAGCAAGTTGGGAGTGGAGAGAAAATCCAGACTGGCCGCAACAATCAAAAAGGTCCACAGGGCGACTCCAGCGACACTCTCAGGGTGATGTTTTGTTTCAGAGTTTTCAGGGCTGCTCGAGGATTTTCGAGAAGCATAGCAATCAACGTTTGTCCGTACAAGTTTCTCGGATTTCTGAACGGTCGAAATGGTATTGAGGCAGGTTTGTCCTCTCGAGCTGCCTGGGACGTTCCCGGGAACTTCCGAACGAAAACTGCGACTACCTATTCTCTGACATCTCTAAAAGTAACATAACATAGATTCGATGCTATCATGATTTGGGTTTGGATCTCCGTCGAGTAATTCCCAATGAAGAAATTTCAGAACCGATTCCATAATTGAATAGGAGTTCGTCTCAGATTCGGCGATAATCGCTCCGTCGCGCCGTTCCCGACGGAAAATCGCGTCGGGACGAAGATCCCATCTCATCATCGGTCATCGATCTCGTTTTCTGTTCATGCTCATTGAAGCGGACTGGAAGCGGCATCGCTCCAATTTGCGATTAGTGACCGGCGGCGGAGCGTGCGCAGAATCGAGACCTCATTCCCTACTTTTTGAGGGACCAGCACATGTGACAGCTTTTCCTTCATGAGAGAAAGGGCGCGCCCTCGGGTTATAACGAGTTCGACAACTCGAGATCTGATCATTGAGGCCCGGTGTGGGTGGAGGGGAAGAGACAAAGCTACCATGGTCAGCCTGAAATGAAACTGAAGGCAGACGAGCACGCATTGAGTCGTCTCATGTACCCCGAGGTTCGTAGGCCCCACTCGATGCTCGATTGCGCGCGTGTTGTGATCATGAGATCGATTAGGATGGACACTGAGAAGTCATGACCTCGAGAGCTAATCCAAATCTGGAAATACGAGTAAAGGCATCCGAGCAGTAGCCAAGGGGGCTGCACGTTCTCTGAGGAGAAGATTGCTGTTTATAGCTCAGCTTGCAGATCCCTTGTAAGAATTGGCTATTGATTCTTTCTTTCAAAGACAATCTGCTGCCAAAAGATCAAACTCTCGTTTTGTTTATATACACACTTTCTGACTTTTTACGCGGGATTTCTGTGTTGACTCATGAGACTCGTGAGCCTCCTATGCTCGTCAAGATTCTCGTGTACACATCGTGAGTCTTGGTGCGAGGGGTTGTGGCAGCGGAGCAGCTCGATTCTACAAAAGTTTTCGAAATTCATGTTCATCATGATGAGGTAGGCAGGCGCGTGTTCAAGGGGGGCATCGGGGGCCAATGTTCCTTCGAAAAATGATTGTTTCATAATACATCTGTAGCCGTCTGGAACCGCTTCCCGAGATTTCAGCGCCGCAGTCATCGTGTGCTCCCTCCCAAAGGAAATCCTGGATGCGCGCCTGGAGGTAGGTGTTTTTTTAGAGCCGTCAATCTCATGAAACCTTCGTGTGGATTTACTACTATTCCTACTATTATACAGGGTGGGGCAAGAAATATCCACCGATTCCAGGAGCTCGTAGAAATCGAACGAGGCGAGATAACGAAATTCTGTTTGCGTCAGAAGTTGCGCCTTAAAATTGATTTTTTTTTGAGACTTAAAAAAAAAGAAAAAAAATTCAATTCCACTGATTTGAACGTGGTTTTGATCAATCCGTTCCAATAGCACTGCGCGAGGATATACGGAAGAGGTCCAATCCCAGTGGCATTCGACATTAGACACATTGTCTCACATAGGACATTGGATTTTTTTTAAGTCTCAAAAAAATTCAATTTTAAGGCGCAACTTCTGACGCAAACAGAATTTCGTTATCTGGCCTCGTTCGATTTCTACGAGCTCCTGGAATCGGTGGATATTTCTTGCCCCACCCTGTACTATTCGTCGAGCTGCGCAGTGAGGGTGGGCTGTAGGGCTCGGGCTTCCCCAGCAGCCGGATCGACTCCTGCGATTATTTGCGAGAAAAAACTCGGGATCATCCCGAGGCAGCACGAAACTGACGAGGCATTCATCCCGGAACCCCTCCGGAAGTCGACTCAATCAGAAAAGCGATCATAGAGATGCTCAGAGCCGATCGTGTTTTCGGCTTGCGAGCAGACAGAACACAAGTCATAGTGAGAGGAAATAAGATAAGCTCAATTCGAGTCGGAACGTCCCAGACTGAACGTCGACCGCGCATTTTCTGAGCAGAGTCATGGGGAACGTGACGATTCCAGCTCGAAATTCTGCTTCCCGGAGCATCAGAAGGAACCGCAAGCCCTGATTCCTTTGCGGAACGAGCCACTGTTGTGCAAGAAAGAACTGTGACGCTCCATCCTTGCGATCAGATAGCACTCGAAGGGAGAACTAGTGCCACGCACGCAGGTATAGCGTTCTCACAGCTCGCGGTGCCTTTTCACTATAACAAAGCTCAGTCCGCCGTCGAGGGCCTGACCGCAGGAGATACATGACAGAGGATAATGATTCGGCTGTCTCTGTCATCGCCGGCTCGGAGAAGATTCCTTCCACCCCGCTCGGTAGAAAGGAAGCTTCCCCATTGAAGGCCTCCGAATATTTCGAATCCGAAATCGAGATTCAGCGGTTCGGGTCTTCGGGACCGTATGAATAAGCTTCGACATCCTGCCATGCGATCGGGAAGCCCTCGCTTAGACCGCATTGTAAGAGAGTTTCCGCATGCATCGATATCGTACATGCATCACCAACATATCTGGTTTGCGGCGTTATTGTGCACTCTATCCGGACCGAGCACCTTCGGGCGGACCTTCGAGTCAGCATCCTAAGCTTCCGACCCAAGGAAGCACAACATTATTCCAGGATGATAATCACAAGAGCCGACATTGAGGCCTCCCCGGCAGAGGTGCTCACGGGACTTCGAGAAAGAATTATCAGTATTCGAAACAGCAGCGATGGCTATTTCCCGACTCCTTATAGCCGAAGTCGGTATTCCGTATTCATACGGATCGCCAGCCTCGTGATCCGTGGAGAAGCGGCCTCAGAAATGCGAGTCGCTAACTTCCGAATAGTGACCTAAGAAACTAAAGATGGAGGCATACAGAGGTTACATCTCGGACCGCCCGACGGAACGAAACTCGAACAGGACGTCAGTGCTTATCGCTGTACCTTAGTTCGAATCATTGTCGAACCCCGATGCTCATCCAACACTCGGTCGAGTGACTTCTTCGGGGGACGACAAGAACGATTTATCACCGGAGGGGACCTCAGTCGAATGAGCCTGCGGCATGGAAGCCGAAGGGTCAGTTGAGACTGCGACCGAGTATTCATCCATGGAAACCTGGCTCGATTCCCTGAGTCGGCCATCTGTTCCCCCAAAAGGGAATCTGATGCCACTTTCCGATTGGATGAGAGCTCAAGTAGTCTTCCCGTCGGTCGTCTGCTCAGCTCGACCTCTGAAGTAGGACTCCTACTCATCCCAGCTATGGAAGACGGCTGAGCTCTGGAGTTCCGGGCTCCAGAAATTTGCTTCGTAAGGGAGAATCAGAGAGTGTTCCTTCGCAGAAACTCACCAACCTTTGTTCTCCTTCCGCTCCTCGGTTGCTCCTGCCCCGAGACACTGTCTCGACCGAGTAACTCTGCGCAGCTTTTTTAGCATCGTATTAGTTTCAAACTAATAGTTGGCTAGAGAGTCAGGAAGCGGGGTCTGTTAGAGGACATCGATATAATTTACGCTGGACTGAGCGCTACCGATCGATCTGAATCGAGTCCACGATCGCAGAAAAACAGCTAAAAACGGGAATTCCCGATCCCCTCGATGGGAGCAATCACGGAGCCAGATCTAGGGATAAATTCCTCGTCCGTAATTCGGGATATTTGATCGGGGACGAAAAAAAGAACGGGCGAGCCCGAACGCGAATCGAAGGCTGTCGTCAATCATCATCGCTGTGTTCGGGATAGCGTGAGTTCGAGAGAAGCGGCTCGCGTTCATCTTGATCTGAATTAAGCTCATTCCCAGTCGACTCTGGGGAGAGATAGGATGAGCCTGAATCGATCTGGGGAATCTCGGTGTCTTTCACCTGACAATGATAGGTCAATCTATTTTTGTGAAATAGGGCGCTGAGAGTCGGAGCTCAAGATGCTTCGTAACGAGATCTGTCACGGAATTCGAAGGTCGTTCCGGTCATGTCCTTCATGTCCCGAACCGGGGCCCCCTGCTCCTGAAACGTGTTCTTTCGCACCCCCCATCTGATGAATGTCGAGAAGCGCCGGCATTTGGTACGGGAGACGTCTTCTCTCGGCATTCGAAAAAAAACTCTGAAAAAATTCACTCAGACTCCCCAACATGGAAAATTGAATTCCCTCAGATCTTTCATGTCGTAGAAAGTCCCACGGAGCTCAGTCAGACGCGAAGTGGACAAATTGCGAAAGAGCCACCTCGGAGGAGACTTCCGCAGACGCTTGGAACATTACTGCGCGTAATTTCCTCCCGTCTATGTAAGCGGGCGTATTCAGTGCAGTTTGAGGGGTTCGCGCAGCCGTCGCGTCGGCAGACGCCATAAATCTTCCGAATCGCATCCGATGAAAAGCAACATCAGAGTCTTTTCGATCGCAGCATGCATCGTGAAAGAATCATTAAACTCGAAATGGAAGCAAAACAGGATATAGCACTGCCCGGGACGGGTCACTCCGAGAGATAAAATGCTTCCATGACTCGAAGCCGTTGGCGCCTGCGGGACTACCGTTTGTCCTCGACAGTTGCGAACCATATTTCGAAGACTTTGAAGGGATGCTTCCGTTACTGCTTGGAGCTTGAGATCATCTCTCTGATTCAACTTTTCTGGCAATCTAGGGCTTCCAAAAGTTGCCATCTGCGCGATAAAGCCGCTGATGTAGCGAGAAATATTCCCCCAGCTACTGCTCAGAATCCAAATGCTTACGGAATTCCGATGTCCGGAACTCGGGATACTCCGCAGTATTGAAAGCAGGCGTCTCGGATTCTGCCAAAGTTCATCCCACCAGGCTAGCGACCCAGCTCAGA